GCCCTTTTTATTTTGAACAGTAAGGTTAAGTTAGGTTAAGAATATTAATTACGCGATTTTCGATTTATTTTAAAAACTAATGTACTGAAGTTAGCTATTTTTTTTAAGTGAGCCGTGCGTTTCGTTCATAAAATCACGAATAAATATTATTGGAAATGTTTGCACCAAATGATAAACTGAAATATAAACTATTCAAAACAATAAAATTATAGCCCGAAGAAAATATTCATTACTCAATACCAGTACACTATATTTATGAAAAAAAAAATCTATTTCAATGGAATAAAATCAATCAGACACACTACGCACACAAGCATCTATAGTTCAGTGAACGTATAATAAAACTGTATTATTATATTATTTTAGGTAACATTATAAAAATATGAAATATTATATACGATATTTCCAATGAATCTGTTTATCAATAAAAGTTTACGGATTAATGTAAAACTAGCTATCGTTCACAGATTTTTTTCATTTTAAAGTTAATTTTCTATGTGCCTACGGCCTTATATATTCATACAAAGTTCATCTAATCTATAGTTATTATTGACAGAATTAAATATTATACATATTTTAATTTTATTATTATTACTATTTATCTATTTATTTGCCTATCTATAAATACATTTTTTTCAACCTATGACGAATGTATAAGTCATATAACGTTTACGCGTTGTAAAAGAAGCATTAAAGCAAAATCGAAATGAAGTATAACAAATTATATTATCTTCACGAAACTGTGTTCACATTGATATATACTTATATAACATTTTACATAAGATTAACTTATTACGCATCTTGTGCAATTTGAATGCGTAACTTATATTCCAAGAACGTTGAATACCTCTGTCTGAACATTTTTTGACAGTAAATAATATTTATTAATAATACTCGGCACGTTTCGCAAAACGTATAAGTATAATGAATGGGAATTTTGTAATGTTTTAAATATTAAAAAGTCTAATTACGTGATATTTTTTTTTTGTGTGTGGAAACCGTGAGCTTTGAAATATTATAGCTAGAACGTGTTAGCGTTGGGGGAGTAACTTCAGCTTTGTGACACAAACATTAATTTTTTCTTTCCACTGCATTTCTATCAAATAAATTGTTTTTATCACTTTTCGAGGGAAGAAAATAAATACATTTAACGGTGCGATTACTTACTACGAATTTGTTTAAAATTATTATTAATTCAATTTTTTCTGGATTCATTTCTAACCATGTTGAAACAGATCTAAAAATATAGTATACCTACTTTTTCTTTTTTTTTTTTAATTAAAAATGCTCAGCTAGCGAATAGTATAGTATTATGTATTACTTGTTAAAGTCCTCCGAAATAAAATACTACTAATGATAAACGATTAGAAAAATCGGTTAAAACATGCTAACCACGTTCAGTGTTTACACTCCATACGCATTGTATTGGAAACTTAGTTGTTATCGGTATTATAATAAGTTTTATTTGTGTGTTCACATCTTTATATTTATTCATTATTATATACAGTTTTTTTTTTTTTTTTTTGAGCCAAATGTCTTAAAAAAAGCTCTTGTGGACTAACCAGCTGACGGATTAATCCCTCGATTACTATTAATCCAGGATTATCATAATAAATGGGCTCGGGCTTAATTTGTTCGGCCAACATATAAAACCACATTTTTAAACTTCTCTTACTTTGTTATTTACCTATAATGGAAACGTCAAAAAACCACTAAACGCATTTTTTTATTTTCAAATAATCGTTTGGTACTCTTAAACTTGTTTATTAAGACATTATACGAAGTGCTCGAGAAAATTCCAAGACCAACAACAATAGAATTATTATTATGAACACATCACAAAATGCCATTGAAATTTTTCAAATAATCCTACTTTGTAGTAGATCGGTACGTTAATTTTTAGAGAACAATATGTTATTATTTATATAGTTAACATTTGCATAGACAATTTATATTTCATTAACCTCGACAGGCTCAAATAATACTATATAAAATTATAAATTATGCGTTCATTTTAAATGTACATCAATGGTTTACATTTTTATACTTCCCATAGTAACTATATATATATATATATATAAAAACCTTGTACAATTATTTTATGTATTTATACAGTTTTTGAATTGGAAATTAAAAACATGTGATGGATTTAATTTTTAATGAAAACTAACTTTAATAAAATTATTTTAAAGATTATCTTACACGTGTTGCTGTAATATAAGTGTATACTACAAATAAATAAAAATATGTAATTATTTTAACTAGTGATTGGTCAAACCCTGATTTTTTAAATCGAACCGAACTTGAACCGAACTTTAAATTATTTTTTCGAACTCGAACTCAATACTTTTTATTATGTACATCGTATCTACCTACAAATTAAATCGAACCATAACTATTAATTACTATTGTATTTTAAGTTTTCGTATTACCTATTCTACATTTTAACTTTTAAGTCTAAGCAATTGTATTATTTAAAATACATTTAAATTTTAGATAATTTCTTCTTCTTATTATTATTATTATTTTTCAAAACCAGTATTTTGCTCTCTCGAGTTGTCTTATAGCTTATATAATATTCATTGAGTATTGAGTATTGAGTGTAATATGACAATACAATCAGTACATTTTAATAATATGTAAAAAAATAGTAATCATAACTATAATTCACAAATATAGAATAATTAGTAGAATTTATAATGTAAGACGTAAACAGTTGTAAACATGTTGTAAACATGTATTTATTAACAGCACAGTTGCGGTATCGGAATATTACCATGGATTTCCCAAAATAGATATTAACCTCTACAATAAATATGATAAAAACAAAAATAGCTAATTTATGAATGTAGATACACTGCCTTTATGAGCGATAAACTACTTATTAATGCATTGGTCGGCAGAGGGTGGACGTGTAATATACGACTGGAAAAATAACATTATTATTATAAATAATGCATAACGTGCTCTTTATAGATCATAACTATCTATCATCAATAGTCTAATTATTTCTAAATAATCATCAATTTTTATTTTTCAAAAATAACTTTTGAAGAATTGTACAAATATTTGGTTTTCGAACTATTGTGGCCAGTAAGTCTGGTTCGACAAATATTTTCAAATTAGATTTTCGAACAGTAAAATATGCTTGATAGTTCGGTTCGATTTTTTTTCATGCCAAGTTCGAATTTCGAACCGAACTGAACATCAAGGGTTCGATTCGAGATTCGAACAGTTCGACCCATCACTACTTATAAAATTGCACGGTTTTCATTTAAATCCGCCCAATTGTAGGTGACAATTTCAAGATGATTATATTACAGTATATGTCAATTTATTTTTTGAAATATTACTAATTGACTGTAATAATATTTAAACTGAAAGTTTAACTTATTGGGATCGGAAAGAACTCTTAATTGAAAAATACTTAGTTTAAAAAAAATTTACCTACGTAAGTTTATTTAGAAGTAAAGTGTTTTACTATTGACTGATAATAATTAAACTATTAGTGATCACGAGATTTTTTTTTTTTCTGAAGTGTACATTAAAGGTGCAATAAAGTATTAAAATATAGTATTTATGAAAATAATAATATAACATCATAACAATAAAAATAGGCGAACTAAAATAAGAACAATGTATAAGAAACTATATTTATCATCAAATACTTTGAGATGTGTATCATAATTGATACAGTTTTAGTTGATGAATAATAGTGTAGTTAAATACAAGCGTTTTATGAACATAATTATTTATACGTTTAGTATATTGTTTTCGCAAGTGTTTAAAATCATTTGTGTTTAAACTATCGATGTATTAAACAATTATATGACGTATAGGTGCAGCGTTAAAACAATTTTATATTAATAAAATAAAATAAACCTAGTTGAGATTTATAGTACAAACGCAGTAACCTATTATGGGTACAATATTAATATACTTCCCAACCAGTACTCTCATTGTAACTGTGTATTACGTTTCGGGGCCAAAATGTAGTTAGTTTTTTCGATTTTTGACGTGCAATACCGTTATATAATGAACAACACATTTCAGAAGTAACGTTAATGCTATGGCGTAAAAATAATTTTCTGTTCGTCCGTAATCAATGACAGAGTGATATCATTCAAATATTTTATCAGATAAAACAATAATTTTTTTTCCCATAGATATTTTTCGAGGTACGATTAACATAACAACCACATCCGTGCACAATATTCGCAAAAACAATTTTGTTCAAATGTCCTCTCTCTCGATTTAGATTACAGTTATTACTTTACAGCGTGTCGTTAACCCGCACGCACAGTGGTATCGATGTGTTTTCAAATCAACAATGCCGTGTACATTAGAGACGTGTATTGCGAATGAATTACAAAATATAAACACATGTACACGCATACGCACCCTCATTGTTTACCCCTCCGGTCTACGGACATATTATGTATAAGTATATATATCGTAAAATAATAATTTATATACAACCCCGCTGACATTACGTAACAATAAGATAGCTGTCATCGGATGGAAGGTTGGGTATAACATGTGGAAGGTAGGAAATTATTTTCCATTTGGAAAATTCGTCGTTTCCACGAACAATACGCATTTTTCGTTATTAAACGAAATTGACCGATTACAACGATAACAATCACAATAATAATAATTAAAATATTAACAGTGCTATACGTAGGTATGCATAAGGTATATATATATATATATATATATATATATATATATACATATAAAGTGTAAGAGAGAGAAATTGAGAGATAGAGTGAGCGCGATAGAAATAAATAAAATCAACGTGCATTTGGAAAAAGACGAAATAATTTTATCAAGCAAATTGAAAATAAAAATTGAAAAATTAAAAAATAAACCTATTCAGATTAACTATTGAATTCTCGTTCCGTCGGAAACGGTGCAGTTAAAATTTCATGTAATTTTAACAATACGTCGTGTACGCGATAAACGTTTGGAAATAGTATATTAAATATTTTAACACTTACAAACTTTGAGAGAGAAGTTTTGTGACGCCCAACTTGGACATGGCATTATTTTTGAAACCGTCGAAAATCGAGTTGGCGGAGCTTTTATTATTCATATTAGCCGTTTTCTGCTCACAGCTGTACACCGAGTGACGGGGTGCAATTAGGTGAAAAACGTACGTTTGTCGACACACGAAGTACCGGGGACTTCACTCGGCCGGTTGACTGTCGGACGGCCGGATGAAACTGTTCTGTGTCAGGGACATCAAGCGAGAAGTAAGAGATTAAGTCGACGTGATCACGTGTATCTATAAAAAAAAATAAAAATGAAAACTAATACAGCGAAAAGTAAAGAAAAAAAAATTTCGCTAGGAAAAAAATAAATGTATTTAAAAAAAAAAAAAAAAACGTAATTGATGGTTATACGTACGGACAGATAGACAGACAGATAGAAGGAGACAGAGCGAGACGAACGGAGAAAGAAAGCCGAAAATATTGTAACCGCGGAAAGACGGTTTGAAATGTTCCGGCGCGTACGTGTTTTGTAAATTTCAGATCTAGAAGTGTACACAGCGGAATGGTGATGGGAGTCGTACGCCGAAACAAAGACTGAGAACGCGAAGTTTCCGAGCACGCTTTTTGTGCGACAGTGTTGGTTTCTCGTCCGCCCGTTTTCGAGGGGGGGCGCGGCGTATACTGTACACCAACCCCCCCGGAGGGAGGGGGCCCTTGGCGGCGCGCGCGCATACGCTCCGCCGTGAAAACTGGGTCAACTGTGACCGACTCAGCTGTATCGCACCCCTGCCGCCTACCCTTTGCACCGCTGGAGGTGGCAGTAGGACGGACGGCAGGCGTGGACGGAGTGCCGAGCGGAGGAGTGCAAGGGACGATTTTTCCTATCCCTCCGATGCCACCACCGACGTTTGGCGTTTCGCGTGCCCGTGTACGTATGTATAATGATACGGTATCGCTAGTCGCGGAGAGGGGGGAGTGCGGAAAATAGGGCCAAGTATCATCACGTGTACACATTATTTTATCATACGCGCGCGTGTGTTCTCGTTCGATACCGATCGGTTGTCGTCGTCGACTTCGTTACAATTATAATAATAACCGTCAACACTAATGTATTATTATTATCAATATTATCATTATTGAAGTATCATTATACCTAGCAATTACATGGTACTTTAACTGTAGCGACAACGTGTAGTAGCTGCAAAAACGATACACTAGTAGTAGAAGTCGAGACACTTTCACTCGTGTATTGTTTTTCGGGGGGGGTCAACATCCCATTCCATCTACGCCGGGTCGTATTATGCCTACGATTATTGACCTCGTAGTAAAGAAATATAATTTCAAACAAAAATATTATTTTCCGGGTTTCTTCTGTTAATCATTTTATATGTACGGCAAACCGGGTACAATTGTAACATTTTCCATACTATTATTTATTTATAGGAAAATTTAAACATTTTAGCATTGATCTTGCACTCAACTGATTCAGTAACTTTTAATCTTAAGAAATATTTATAAATTGAACATTAACTTTCATAGGTGAATCTGTAAATCTGATTTGAAGAAAAAAAAATGTAACAATTGTATCCGGTTCTGGGTTAATTGTAACAGTACTAGGGGACAATGGTAACACATACATGATATATTAATCAAAATTAGATTTTTAATAGTTTAAGCAATTATTACTAAAAATAACAATTAAAAAACAGTGGTAGAACATACCTTATATAATAATAAATAACAAATTATAATATTTTTATAGTTTAAGCCTTTATAACTAAATATAAAAATCCAAAAACAGTGCCTCTATTTGTTGTTCTTTGTCTTATTCGTGGCATGGCTATTACCTATAACAAAGAATAATGAATAATTGCTTCTTACAAATATAATTTTAATAAACAATAATAAAATTTTACATTTGTCCCCTGTTTAACTGTTACAATTGTCCCCAATCAATACTTATATAATAAAGTAAATATAAAAAAAAATACTACTTACTATGCACAGACCAGACAAGACAATCAAGTTAAAGAATACTTCTTTCCTTATATAAATATAATAGTAACTAGAAATTATAAATAAATAACAACGTTTAAATAAAAAAATACGACAAAATATTTAATTTACAATCCGAGTTGATAAACGTATTTTATTATTTTTCTGATAAGGACAATATGATATTGCCGTATTGATAAAGAAGAACTATTTGCTATTATAGTGGGACAACTGTCGTATTTTTACCATATTTTAAAATCGAACCTAGAAGAGAAAATCAACGATGTTAAAATTGACCCGTGTTACATTTGTACCCGGTCTCCCCTACACGCTATGATGGTCACTGATCTAAACGCAGGGGGTAAAAACGTCAACTAAAAATACCATTGTACGTAATATAAAAACTTGAACAAACACAATCGAAAATATTATAATTGCGAATAAGTGATCCGTGTTGTGCGAAGATAGTTGAACATTATTGAACGGTCGTGTAAAACATAATCTACAATACCAGCGATAGTAATAATACATATTATTATATTACGTATAGGCTTATCTCATTTTTTAGCCGTTATAAGAGTATAACTGATTTTCAATACATATTGAATAATGTATTAAATAAATATGCTGCACTTAACTTTAATGAAGGTATTTTCAATTAATTGCCAAACAGCTGATTATTAAATTTAAAAATATCTGATCGTATAAGTAAATCGATGAATGCAGCAACGTCACGAGTCACATATTCTATGAAATTGAGATATTAATAAAAACGTATACTGGTCTTACTGCGCTTATATGCGTTTAGTGTAAAAAAACTGATTATAATTATTTATTTATTTGGTAAAAAAAGTATGACTATAAAAGTGTTTACACTCCACGCACAGAAAACATGTCTAGTATACGTTTTTACTAATATCTCTATTTCATAAAATATGTGACTCGTGATGTACAATCATAATTCAAGTATATCAAAACGTAATTTTTTTGTTAGAATCTTATCAACTCATTTATACACCATGCTCAATGTATACTGTTTTCAATAAAAAAAAACCAACTAGTTAATATTATGTGATATAAAGTAATAGAAATCACTACGGTCACTTAAAATCTATGCTCAGGTATGATATTTTTATTTTCGAAAAATTATTTTGAAAAAAATTCCTAAATATATGTTTTTCTAACTTAAATTCATTTTTGAAAGCCATTAATGGCCTAATTACAATTAATCTTTAAAAATTAACCCTTTACATCAAACAAAAATTAAATAAAATACGTCCGAATCATGAACATTATCTAGATTTATTTTTAAATTACATGTTATATTTATTATGTATTTCGCTCGTAAAAAATGTCGAACATAAAAATATTCTATTTTTATATGTAAAACTCTAATTTGTTTGAAAACGGTAGAATTATTTATAAAAATTATCATTATAAAAATGTCAATTAACATTTTTATAATAACGTCAAAAATCCGATCAAAAAAGCACGTGAATATTAAAAATATTAATACACTGACCTTTATATTATTATAGTGGTTATCCTTATTGAAGTTCTTGATTTTTACAAAGAAAATATGATACTGTCGAAATTATAATTTCCATATCACATTAACATGTATATTAACATATAAATCTGGTAGATAGATGTAAAAAAAGAAACGTGTAAAATGAATAATAAACATTTTACGCTACCCATGTATTAAATTACATCGTAATTTATTAATTTCTTAATCGAAAAACAAACTTTTGACTAATCAAATGATCTTGATTCGTTTGAGTGTTAGTTGTATTTAATTAATACAATGGTTGCCGTATGCTGTAATTTCATGAATAATTTCAAGAAATTTTTCAATAAACCATTTTTCACTGTAACGATGAAGTCGCATACTCTGTGATAGTTATAGTGGTGATGAATGATGGACAATGATATCGATAAAGGTACGAATGACGGTACACAGACTATATACAGACGGTTGTTCGGAACCCAAATATTTTCGAACGTTAATTCAATAACCAGTTAGGGTAAAAAGCCGGCCAATTTGTGCAGGAATAAAATAAAAACATTCGTACTCGAAAAAAATAAAAAAATTATAAAAAAAAATTATTTTGTACACTACCGGTGAATTATTGAGTTTGACGATGTACGGCGTTTGTGCCAAAACCTTATGATAATTTCGAATCCGACTCATGGCATAGTATAAAATTATAATTAAAGACCGAATTGCAACTTTTTATTGATACCGGGTAAATCAAATATGATCAAATATCTATATGAATCGGATTAATTGCAGTCATCCTATTAAATTTAATAATATAATTTTTTGCAATTTTTGCAATTATTGTAATTTTTGTATACTTCACTTAATAGAATATACAAATTATTATTGCTAAAGTAATTTTAAAATAAAAATAAACTACAACGTAAACTTTTAAATGTAGTTAAATGTAATATAGCATTTTTAAAATTATATTTATCTAAGATATCTACATCCTAATAGGTCCTAATAGGATAATAATAAAAGATAAATTAAAATATATCTTAGAAAAAAATGAAAGATATAAAACTATTAAAACTTACTCTGAGGTTATGACAGGAAATAAAGATGTTGATTTAGATATAACACCAAATTTTTTAAATTATTTTAAATATGCATCGATAAAAAGTGTCGACGTTGAACATACTTTTTCATTATAAAAAAATATTTTAAGTAACAGGCTGTCGCCAATTTTCAAAAACACAATTTAGAAATATATATAATTATAAATTTTAATTCAGAAAAATGATATATTTTGTAAATATTATATTAATGTCCATAATATTATTGAAGTAAGTAATTAATGAGTGTATTGGATATGATTTTACTACGTAATTTTAATGTATTTTTTATTGTAATTTTAACATAGGTATTTTAAATGCAGTTTTGATAAAATTTCATAGCAATTTTGGCATATTTGTAGAAAAATTTTAAGGTATTTTTAATGCAATTATCTACTGTCTTTAATTATAATACACAGCAAATGATCGTTTCTTCCGTCGCGTTTGCGTAACGTTGCATTATATTTCGGAGCCGACCACCACAACTGATCGTTGATGTTCCATCCTCTTCTCTTATTATTGACTGGCGGTGTATAAAAACGCCAGAAGTCTTTGTTACAATATCGTTTTTAGTATCGTTATTATTATTTTATTGCAATTTACTTTCTACCGAACCGATAATTATGTATCGCGAGCGCAACTGCTCATCTCGACTCACAGTGCTCCGATCTGTGCAATGTAATTTTACATTTTTATTTATATATATATATATGTTATATAGGTATCCGTCTACGTATTTATTTACATCCGTCGAGGATAAAACGTCACGAACGCGCGAAAACGTAAGAAAAACGAACTCTGCTGCAGCAATAATTACCCATTCGTTGTGTAAGTTATTATTACACGTCGCGCGGCAAATTTTAATTTGTGTTCAGTTGATCTAACCTTAAAATAACAATATTCAAAAAATGTTATATTTGGTAAAGATTATTTATTATACAATAGGTACGGTTTTAGTAAAACATGGTACTTACTCCCCAAATTTTAATTTATATGCGATACGAAACATGTAGTAAACACTAAAAACATC